AAAAGACAATGAATACAAAGGTCAGCGGCATAGGAGCGAGGATATGGAAAATCAATGCAGAAAAGAATTACAACTTAATGCCAATTTAGAGAACGGACAATTGGTATCCTCAGCCTCCTCATCAGAGAAAAATTCTCCCTCCTCTCTGTCATCCATTTCGCTTTCCCCCAACTGGGACATATCATAGGCCTGCTCTTCCCTCTCATGGCAGTGGTGCTCCTTTCTAGCTGCCTTAGTGGGCCAACGTGGCCTTTCTGAATCAGGGTACGGATCTGATGGGGTTCCCTGAATGTAGTGGCCAGTATGGGGATGAACGTGTTCTGCGCAGGCAGATTCTATGAGGGACATGCGATTAAGGGTGGCTACCTCCTCCCGCATAGCTTGTCTAATGAACTGCATCACCTCAGGAGTTAACTGCCCTTTCGCGCCATTTTCGGGAGTACTCACATTCGCGTCGGGGGGGTTCTCCGTCTGGGAGCAGCCCGCTACTTCAGCCTCCTGTGCGCTTGCCAAGTTTAATAATAATACATTTGAGCTCATGCTCTGGCATATGGGTGCAGCGAAAGCCGCCCCGCAGCCCCTCCCGGTTTCCTCCGGGGTTCTGTTGTTTGCCGGTTGATTTAAAATGGCGCCCGCATCGTGCGCCTTCGTCGGGGAATGAGGCCTTTTTCTGGATCGCTGCTCCTTCGGGTCTGAAGTGCGCGCATTTGCGGAGGGGGTGGAAGGGTTCTCTTTCCCTCTCCGTTGATCGTCTTTTGCCGGCATGAGGACGTTGCCTCTTTCTGAGTCAGAGAAGAAGCCGTCCGAGTCTTCTCGATCCGACATGCCCCAGATGGGGCGTCGGAGGAGGTGAGGGAGAAGAGAAAAAAGGCAAAGCAGAGAGCAGGGACGAAGATGGAAGCTTTTTTAGACTAGAATAGAATAAGGTAAAGTAGAATACAGTAGCTGGGTAGGAAAAATAAGCGTTGAAAAGCACTAGTGCTAGCAAGGTGCTGCGCTCCCTTTAGAGGCAGGAACGAAACTGGAGCTGAGGAGACCAGCCACCTAGTGGACGGGAAGTGAAGTTTCTGTTCCTGCCTCCCTAAGGAAGGGGTTGGAAACACCCACACAAGATGTCCTCCACTCAGTGGGAGAAACTGAAGGCGCATAGCCAATTTATTACACTGGCTTCCGAAGGACTTAACCAGGAAAAATAGCGACCCAGGAACGGTTGGACAGAGAAATTAAATATAAATATATGTATTGAAGATGATTCAGTTTTTCTTAAACACATGTTGGTGGTAGAGATGTTGGTGATAAAAAGCTACAGTTGTAAATCAGTTTGAAACCTTTTGAGTATGCTGGAGTGGAGGGTCTCAACAGGATTAGAAGTATATATTCGTCTTGAAATAAGAGGCCAGAAAATAAATACTTATCAGAGAGATTTAATTTGTTTTTAACAGAACGAAGATTAGCTACAAAATATAAAAATATATAATTAATTAAAGTGGTGTAGAAGTAAAAATATTAAATGGACAGGGGTTAGAGGGTGGAGGGTTTCATGTCTGTTGTATGTTTATGTTTATGTTTGTTTTTATATATGTGTTATAGAACGTAATAAAAAATTATATAAAAAAGTACCTGATTCTTTACTCTCTAACAAAGAAGATAAATCAGTTTACCTAAACAAAAGCACACCCATTCCACTGTCCTCCATCAAACACTTTTCAAAAAGAAAAGAAAAGAAAGAGCTGTGGTAGGTGGGTAGGGTGTGGAATTCATTAAAAATGTCTGTATTTCCTTGTGTTCAGGTGCGATATGTGATTTCTGGTAAAGGCTTGCTGTGCAACTAAATTCCAACAGGGTGTCTCGGATTCAGATTTGCTATGAGTTGTACGTACCATATACCTTGTTTGTTTCCTCATCCTTTGGGCCCGAAGTCTGTGATCTTTTAGTACACTACATGATGGTGCATTTTTATGAGGATTTGCTTTAACAGAAATTTAATTTTAGGTTCACTCTTGACCCAAGGTTATGAAATAACTGTCATGTATGATGTAGAAAGCCACCTTCCAACATTTATCAGGGTCAATTATCCTTTCCTTCTTTTGGTAAGAACTGCTATAGGCCCTAAGAAACCTATTTCATTTTGTATGAGTATACATACATGAGACTCTACGGTTGCAGATGCCAATGATAATTTTTAGTTTATTTTTCTTTTTTGCGGCTACAATCTAACACATATCTGATGAAGACAGCTCTGACTCTCAAAAGCTTATACCCTGAAAATCTTGTGAGTCTCTAAGGTGCTGCTGGATTGGAATCTAGCCAATCTAGCATGGTTACTCTTCCAGAACTGGTATAAAAAGAGTAACAAACAATATTTACTGCCTGGCCCATTGCAGGTCTAAGGTGTCTGGGAAATATAGATGTTTGTATACAAATGCTAGAAGAGTCTGAGGTAAAATGGGGGGGGCTGGAATGCTTAGTGTCAGAGAAGAATATAGACAGTGTAGGCATTTCAGAAGCTTGGTGGGATGACAAAAATCAGTGGGATACAGTGATTCATGGATATAAATTATATCAGAAGGATAGGGAAGGAACGGTTGGAGGTGGAGTGACTATGTATGTCGGAGAGAGTATATAGTCTGGTAAGACTGAGAGTGTAAGAGAAATAGATTTGCTTACAGAAACGCTATGGGTGGAAATAGTGTGCCCAAAAGGAGGTTTAACTCTGGGAGTTCATGATCGCCTAGCAGATCAAAGGTTCAATGTGTGCAAGTGCAAAGTAATGCATATTGCAGCCAAAAATCCTAACTATAAATATACATTGATGGGGTCTGAACTGGCAGAGACTGACCAGGAGTGACATCTTGGAGTCATGGGGGATAACTCACTGAAAATGTCGACACAGTGTGCGACAGCAATAAAAAAGGCAAAAGCTATGTTGGGGATTATGAGGAAGGGGAATGAAAACAAATCAGTCAGTATCATAATGCCCCTGTATAAATCAATGATGCAGCCTCATTTGGAATACTGTGTGCAGTTCTGGTCACCACACCTTAAAAAGAATATTATAGCTTTGGAAAAAGTGCTGAAAAGGGCAACTGAAATTATTAAGGGGACAGAACACCTTGTCTATGAAGAAAGGTTAAATAGCTTAAGGCTCTTTAGCTTGGAGAAACAATTACTGAGAGGTGACATGATAGAGGTTTACAAAATTATGCATGGGATAGAGAAGGTAGAGAAAGAAGTACTTTTCTCCCTTTCTCACAATACAAGAACTTGTGGGCACTCAATGAAATTGCTGAGCAGTTGGGTTAAAACAGATAAAGTACTTCACTCAAAGAGTAATTAACACGTGGAATTCACTGCCACAAAAAGAGGTGGCAGCTACAAACATAGACAACTTCAAGAGGGGATTAGATAAACATATGGAGCAGAGGTCCTTCAGTGGCTATTAGCCACAAGGTATAGACAGAATACTATGTCTGGGGCAGGAATTCTCTGTATTCTTGGTGTTTGGGGGGCAACAGTGAGAGGGCTTCTGGAGCTCTGGTCCTGCTGGTGGACCTCCTGATGACACCTGGTTATTGGTCATTGTGTGGCCCAGAGTGTTGGACTGGATGGGCCATTGGCCTGATCCAACATGGCTTCCCTTATGTTCTTAAGACCTAAAGTACAGGTGCCAGATATATTTTAAAAAGTTATTGCAATGGTCATTATTTTTGAATAGGTAATACTTGTGCAGCACAGAAAACAGAAATGCTTACATTATAGTGAAATAACAGGAATTACTTTGACATTACAGTGCACAAATGAATGTCTATGCCTCAGGTCAAAACTGGTGCACTTGACCACACCCAGGTACTTTTGCTTCTTGCTGCTCTGTGAAGTGTTACATTTGTATTTCTAAATTACTTTAGATTACATCAGTCCTTTGTGTTAAAGTCCAGATCCTATCCTATCCCGGCACCAGACTGTTTGTCATTATATAAAATATGCACTTATTTATTTCAGAAAACCAGTTTTCTGATAGCACAAAGCAACGAATAACAAATAACCTTCTATAACGCTTCATTGCGCTCACATCTGTCAGTCAATCAGTACTTTCCAAAAAAAATTCCTCCAAGGAACTTCTTGCACATCAACATTACCGAAGAAGCCCCTACAGGTTACAGATGGGCATGGGTCATGCTGTAGGGCATGTAGCCAGATGGCACAGAGTGCTAGTAAGGTATGCTGGGGCCCCATTGTATTCTATCCTAGAACAAATACAAAATCCCCCTGTGACTGCGCAATGCAGGGGAAGATTAGACAAGTGTAGAACTAGTGTGCTCTCCCCCTTGCACATCCTGATACTTTCTCTCTTGTCGTTTGCCATTACAACTGAACTGAGCAAAATGGTTTGTGCGAACCACAGGTCACCTGCAAGCTAGAACTGGAAACCCCAACTGAAACGCTGATCTCTTTGAAGACTCCATTGTTTGAAAACTGCTGCATTAAACTGATTCTGGCATGTCATTACTCAATAACGTTTCCTATAAAAATGTGAATTGTAGAGTGTTCCAGCACATCCTGATCTTTGCTTCGGGCTTTCAAAACTGTCTCACCCAAACAGCAGACACTCGCAACCAATTAGAACATTGCCTTTAGTCAAAGGAGGACAGCTATTTCTTATGTCTGAATATACACCAAAAAAGTTTTTAATTAGTAACACAGTTTAAAGGTTTGTACACTGTTGTGTAATTGTGAGCCCTCTTGTTTACTCCACCCCTTGTTCATAATGTCCTTGACAGGTAGAAGGATATAAAAATATTTTAATTAGGCATGGGGGGAAGCAGTGATAGACAATGGTTTATTTTCTTAGTAAATGTACTAAGAGAATTGCTGTGGGGAATTTCAACTGTCTCATAAGAAATCTTTCTTCTTCCAGTCCTTGTTAAAGAGTCTAACAACAGAGTCTAATCTGGCTAAGCTTTTCTTATATAATCAATACAGCACTTAGAGAAAACACTTACGGTTTATGTGGTCGATATAGTAGACACCAATCTGAGGGTCGTATGCGGCTTCCCATCCCCATGGTAGCTCATCTCCAACACAGTCTGCAAAGGATAATGGCTTTGTTAACCTAAAAACAAAATCAGAAAGCAATTGAATTAAGTTTATGGGATTTTTCCTAGACATCCAGAGGCAGAAAATTAAGCAAATTATTTCAAAAATGTCATTCAGGCACTATCCTGTTCGATATTCCTACATTCAAAGAGTAAATGAACAAAGACTGCTCAAGAAATATATCGATAAGGATAAATGCTTCTAAAAAGAGAAAGAAATAGCCTGATGTTCCCCAGCAGCATTAATAAAACCCTAAGTATACATGTCTTTTCTTCAGGCTAAATTAGACATTGACTGGAGCCCAAGCATGGGTGGGAGAGAATGGGCTCCTTTTTTCTAGAGTCCGGAGGAGGCCAGGACGGACTGTAAGTCCATTGCCATGATGTGGTCTATTTAGGTAAATTCAGAAATAAAACAGAAACCTCTTTTTCATGATAATGAGTTCATATGTATAGGATAGTATTGTGGAAGTGGTGAGCATTCTAAATGTGTATTGGATGCCAAGAAATTATGCTTGGGCCCCAGGACACAACTCTAGAAATCTGTTTAGTTTAAACCTAGGTCTGCCCCAATCACATGTCGAGGGGTTGCCAGATCTGGGATGGGAAATAACTGGAGATTTGGAGGGTGGAGCCTAAGGAGGGCAGGGTGTGGGGAGCACAGGGACTTCAATGGGGTATAATTCCATAGAGTCCGTCTTCCAAAGCAGCCATGTTCTCCGGGTGAATTTATATCTTTTTGCCTGAAGATCAGTTGTAATAGCAGGAGGTCTCCAGCCATCACATTAGGGCTGCCAAATGCCCCCGGGGGGGGTGGAATTCCCCCCGCTTTCGAGCCCCAATTTCCGCTCCCGCGGAATCGGGGCCTTGTGTCGTGGTGTTACTTCCAGGGAAAACCCAGAAGTGATCTGGGGTATGGTAAGACCAGGGCTTTTTTGTAGAAAAAGCTCATCAGGA